GGAGGCGGATGAGCTAAACATTGCGTTCTATTCCTGTTTGCATAGGCAAAAAGACGATTGTCATGTGCACTCTCTTCTCATCCCGCTATCACAAATGTGAAGTACATGTTGAAGTCACACACTGCCATGACATTTTGGGTAGTTGATCCACTCCGACCAATGTACGCTCCACTCCGACCAATGTACGCGTACGCGACCTTTTCGTGGCTGGGTAGTCGGGCATCAACGTACGTACCGTCGTGTGCCCCAATGTAGTTCTGCTTAGCATTGTTAGAAAGTAATTATATTCTGATGTGAAAGTAACGCAGTAATGAAATTTACTTTGAAATATGACATGTAACGAGTATCTTTGGCAACTTGCTCTGAAATAATAGCGAACAATGGATCCTCTGGCTTAATGATATGTGACGCTAAGCTAACGAGTGCTTGCAGACCTTTAGAGAAGTATCAGCTGATTGTTTCTGAGGAATGTTGAAATCGCTCCATAGCTCCTCTAATTGATTCGTTCTTGAAATAGAATGTATAAAGTTATGACCAACACCTCCCTAGTTCTAGTTCTAGAAGACTCTTGAAGGTCGTGGTTACGACATAACTCGTGAAGGAGATCCAAAAAAATGGGCGCAGTTATGCGAAAAATATTGTTGAACCTTATCGAATGTCCAGCAAGCATTTCATCTACCTATTTATCCCCAACAAATGAAGATGTCATGCGTGATATTTGAGCAGTGGTGGAGCGGTAGTACAACAACAAAATCGTAATCGCCACAGCCTATGTCATTCTTCTACGACGCTGGCTCTTGCTGTCGATCTATCCTGAAGAAATAAGTTGTTAGGATATAAAGTGTCAAAAAGAAATAGCACCAATATAAAATGAGAAAAATATCAAGGACTCCATAACACACTACTTAATTACATATAATTGTTCATGAAAATAAATAAAACAGTTGAAAACTAATTGCAAATAAAACACCCAAACATGAACATATACAAAAGATTATTCATCAATCAAAACACGTAATATTCAACGCGCAGTTCGAGCCGCAGGACCATGAATATTTGCCTTCGGGTTGGGTCTTCGAGTTTTTTAGCACATTTTGCATGAAAACGTCTATCAACCACTACTTGTGGAAGAGCATCCAAAGCTACAATACAATCTAGATGGTGTCAGGTAGAGCAGTAGGTGGCGGAGCTGCAAAAGCATCAATTAGTTTCTCTATTGAGCTTTTCACGAAAATGTCTTTATCTTTCATTCTTTTCCCAAGTCTGGGCCTTTTGGACTGGGAACTAGACTCCTCAATCTCCTTTTGGTTAGTGTCAGACACTTCATCGTCAACTGTAACCTGCTCAGAAGACAAGTCATCCAGTATACCTGCAAACCCCAATTCACTTGGGTTGAATGCATGTTTTCCCGTCACGACAACTCCCTTAAACATTATGTCCAATTTATCTTCCAACTCCGGCTCAATTTCGCAATGCTTACACTTTTTGGCTGCTAGTATTGTCTGTAATGTTTAGTGGGGGGGGGGGGGGGGGGGGTGGGGGGAAATTTTAAATATGATAATACAAAAAATGAGAGTATAATTATTACCGCTAATTTCTCAACACACCATTCATCTAGAGCATCGATTGTTCACTTAATGGGATCCCAACCCAACTCGGTGGATCCATGTATCAGCTCCTATATTTTCCACTCCTTAAATTGGTCTCATTTGTTTTTGAATTTTAGCCTGTCGTAATCCCTTCTCGTCAATTCCTTGAACCTCTATACAATTTTTTGCCAACCTTTCTTGTTAAAATACGTGGATGACCTATTTCTGAGCTCAATTTCTTTAATACAGAGATTGCAATAAATGTTCGTTGCATCTTTATCCCACACTGTCGACGGACCCCCTTCATTCGTCTTAGCCATGAGAGGAACTAAATCAAGATATTATAGTTAAACAAGTTAACATATAACAAGGACATCTTGTTATACCATTATAGACACATGGGGTAATAATTCGAATTGGAAACCAAAAATCAGTGAAAAAATGAAAAAAAAAAACACCTTAACACATTGGAAGTTGGGGCTCAATCATTAATAACTGAGGAAAAATACTAGAAAATATTAGAAGGACCTCATGATTATCACATGTGTGAAGACATCGATCTATCTTGTGCAATCCAATTTCAGGAATTAATTCATTACCATCAAAAGGCCACCTGCAATACTAATACACATGAAACACCTTAAAGGCCACCTGCAATACTATGCAGAAGCCTTGCATACTTGCCAAGCAATTCGTATGCATTTATACCATAAACATTTCATTATTCGTATGCCTCCACCTTAAAGGTGTACCACCATACTAGCTATATCACGATATCAAATATATCATCTTAATGGAGCATTAGGATGATATCAAATATATCGAATATATCATCTCATAGGAGGGAGTAATCTAAAAAAAGACCGAATAATGGAGCATTAGGATGGTGAAAGAAGTGAAAAAACCAAATATTTTGCCGCATTCAGTTGGTCATAAATCAAGCAGATATTGACTGTCAAAACCATGGTGAGTTTTGAAAAAGTCTATACTTAATATTTCCCAAAATGTAATATTTTAGAGAAGGACCAAAAGGAAGAGCTGCTAAAAAATATAGTAATTTCATAATGCATGATAACAGTAAAGGCCACAAAAAATCTGCATAGTAATTTAATAATGGATGATAACAGTAAAGGCCACCATAATTAACAAATTCTATATCCAAAAAGGTATAATTGAAGCAAACAGCTCAATGTTTTAGGGCTATTAAATAGAACCAAGTGCTGATGAATGCCATTAGAAAGAAAACACTTCCTGCTTCTTATAATCCGAGTCAAATAGAAATTATTCTCCAAAGCCTGAATCAAAGTTCAGTTTTACATAGAAAATAGCAGATACACAGGCAATGCTCCAGAAGGTGGCAAACATATAAACAATTTAAAAGATATATAAATCTGAACTTGCCAACTGAATTTTCTCAAATTTTATTTGATCTATATGAGTATGTAAGAATGATAATAAAGCAGTCTATATAAGTAAACCCCAATTCAAAACCCCAATTCTATATAAAAAGTAATCTTGATTCAGGCTTTGCATGCATCCTAGCTATTTCAAAACCCCAATTCTATACGAAAAGTACTACTGAGAATTCCAGAAAACGTAAATCTAAGAAGAATTTTTATCAATTTTGAGCTTATATAGCCCCTCAAGAACATTCCAAATCAATCAATAAAACAATGCAAGAAGATAATAAAAAAAAACTGTTTCCAAGAACCAATCACAAATCCATTAGTAAGAAGATTTCTCCTTAATCCATAAAGATCAAAGCAGATACAAAGTAGGATAAACTCCATAATAAAAGAAGAAATAGAACTTCTGAAAACAAATACTCCATCAACCGCTTTCAATAATTTTCATTTCTCTCTCCTGATCAATTCATAAGAAATGCATAGTACCCTTGGAGGGGTAGCAACAAATGAAGCACAATTCTCTAAAACATTTAGGATTTGATTGTGTTTGTGAAGGAATTATTGTGATATAACCCTGAATGCTTTTACGTGGCTTTCGTGCATTTGTGCAAGTATAAAGCATAACTTATAAGCACAGATTTGCATTTCAAATAAGTTCTTTCCCAGAAAAGTTACATAATTCCATGAACATAAGCTAATGCTTAGAATACTTGCCATCGGTTTTAGTAGACCAATTACCCCACTGCTTGACCATAGATGCTAATGCTTACATGATTATGCCTCATGGATTGTGCATTGGATATCCTAAGTCATCATTGAGCCTATAGCTTAGGCTTAACAACTTTAACCTAAAGCCTAGTACTTTATAAAATGATAAGAAACAGTTAATTGAGGGACTTTTCTATGCAAGAAATACCCACATCACCAACTCCCCTGCAACCATACACTAAAAAGTTAAGAACAAGCATAACAAGATCCAAACTACCCTGCAACCATTGACTAAAAACAAGAATTCAAACATGCATATCAAGGTCCCTCGTAAAGAAGCATTCGAACATGCATACATCCAAACTGCCCTGCAACCATTCAATAAACACCAGCACAACAAGCATTAAGAAACTGCTCATTCGAACATGCCCCCAACAAGGACAACTCCACAACAAGCATGGATTGCTATCTTGGCAAATCCAACCAAAGAAGCAAACTGAAACGGCAAGATAAAAACACAAACAAAGCAACCTACTGAAATCGCAACTGGGAAGAAAATTTGAGAAGAGGAAAAGTAAAAAATTGAAATGCCATAGACATTCAAAAAACGAGCAAATAGCATGCAACAAATCATACAAAAATCCGACATTACTCAAGGAAATCCATCGAACAAAATCCAACTGCAGGAGCATCCACAAAAGAAAACCATTCCATGCAATACCTACAAATCGACCAAAACGAGAGGGAAGGAAGGAATTTTAGGGCAGAGGCGAGGCGAAGGAGCAACGAGGAGTGGAATCGAGCACGACAACTAGAGAGCTCAAGGGATTCGGGATCGCCTTAGGGCAGAGGAGAGAAAGGGCAGACAGTTAAAACGCAACGAACGAATGCGGGTTGTACCTATACAAATCAAAAGGCGGTGTTACGAAAACTACACCCGAACGCGTTAAACAAACGCGTAGGCGGCGTTTTCGTAACTCTGCCGCACCTAATAAGCGTCTCCGAACGGGCCCTTAGTGTTAGGGTTTAGGAGAGATTTACTACCTCTGAAATTGTAAAAATTGGCAAAGCTCTCCTACTTCTCGAATTGTAGGTGCTTATGTTTATGCATTCGTTTTGAGTTGCTTGTGCAATAAAATATTTTGTGCCCTAATTCTATGAAAAATTGTCTCCAGCTACTATCATAAAGCTGAAACGCTATCAAGCAATCTTATTGAATATCACAATTATTAAAGCATTAGGTAAAACATAACAGAGCAGATTTTAGAAACCTGAAAATAGGAGCTCGGAAGATTACCATAAAAGTCTTATATGGGGTGGCATTTGACAAAAGTATTGAACTACGAACTTCTCTTCCATTTTCCAAAATTACCTGAGCAAGCTTGTAATGAAAAACGAGAGACAACTTCGAAAATCAAATTAAGGAAATACGTTGCTGCACACAACATACCCCTGTTGCAGATCCAGTATTCTCATCAACCAGCACTTGAGCAACCTAATAATAAAGGTTGTTAATTATCTTTGTGACATAGGAAGCGCGATGGGACAACTTAGTGCAACAAACTATGCCAAAAGCTTCAACAGGGATTAGAACTTTATTCATACTGCCTATTTTAGATGCACATAATACACAATTATTCAAAAGATAGAAACCATTAAATAATACTTTTTTAACAAATATGATGATACATGAAATAGCAAAAAATAATCATAAATTTATATAAATTGACAAAGAAATATTTTATACAACCTAATAAAAAATGATTGAGGCACATGAAATGCCTTTATTGGTCTCTTTAGCACAACAAATACATATATGACATATTTTGCTCGAAATTTAATATTGTTACTTCCAAGTTGAATCCCTTCTCTTTCCATTAGAATTATTTACATCTACCAATTTAAGGCCATATGAAAATAAGTCAAAGAACCAACAATTCAAAAGTTTGAAGATGAATCAAAGATGAAAAAACTAAAGCGAAGAAAATATATATAAAAGAAATCAAGGATAAATTGAGAGATCAAGGGTGTTTGATAAGATATTTTTAACAGGATTTAAGATTAGATTTAACGTAAATCCAGCCAAATACAATAAGTAGGTTAGATAAATCCACCATTATGGCAAATCCGATTTTTGCTTGTTTCATTTATTAAATTCGGATTTACCAAATCCACTTATTAATTGGATTTAACGGATTTAGGTGCAACTCAGTGTGGAGAGTAGCATCCGTATGACTCTAGAAAATAATCTTCTACAAGAGGTTATGAGTGAGAATAATAAAGAGGAGAAAAATCAAAAGCCTAACTACCAAAAGCAAAAAAAATAGTGCAATTGACAGTACGGAATATCAAGAAATTGAGAAGTGAGAGCTGTGTTTCGATAATGCATGGAAACAGAGGATAGGTCAGAATCTAATTAGCTGACGCGAGGCTTGGGAGAGGACCAGCCGAACCTCAAGGAAGAGGGGTTACCGCTCCCTCCTTCCTCTCCCCTCATTTCTCTTCTCTCCTTTCCTTTCCCACTCATTTCCCTTCTTCCTCCTTTCCTTTTTCCTTCCTTTCCTTCTTTCTTATTTTCCTTCCGCACTTTCCTATTTTACACTTTCCTATTTTAAAACATTTCCTAAAACTCAAATCTGATTTTTATTCTCATTCCTAATTTAAATCTTGTCCTCAAATATGAAATCAGATTTTATTCTCCTTCCTTATTTTAAGAATCTTTCCTAAAATTTGAAATCTAATTTTATTCTCTTTCTTATTTTAGTTTTTCCTAATTGCGTTAGGTCTCTTTATAAATAGGAGTTGAGTCTAGAATTAGGGGTCTTGTTTTGTTGATTTTTGAATTCAAGTTTTAGTATTGGTATTTTCCCTTTAAGGGTTGTATCCGACGTCAAGGTAGTGCTCCAGCTGTCCCACATTCGAGGTGGTGATCGTCTCTAAGGGTCCGAGCGTTGCTCTGGTTGTATCTCGACCCCACCGAGACATTTATCTTACCATACTTTCGTTTCCCCTATGTCATTTCAGAATCCAACCTACTGTCCTTCTTCCACAACAGTCATACCTCTCCGCCCTTCACTGCATCCGCTAATCCAGCCTCCCCTTTTGTCATAGTCACTCCTCATCAAGCGATTGTGTCTTCTTTGTTGAGTCATTAGTTATAATCCTTTGTCTTGTGCTTTTGCTTTGTGTGTTATCTTTCGTTATTTCGAGTCCTCATTGTAACATTGTTTTAAGTCAGTAATAAAATTGTGTCTTACGTCGTGGTTTGGGTTAACTCCAGTATTATTTAATAGCAGAGCTAGCCCAACCCTAGTCTCATCCAAGGCTTTCAAGCATCCTCCCCTACCCAATTCACCACACCAAATTTTTTCTTCTTTCTTTCGTTTATTTTTTCTTCTCTTTTCTTTCTTTATTCCTTCCTTTTTTTCTTTCATACATCTTAAATCATCAAACATGCCGCCAAGGAGAAATATGTCTGAGCCTACCCGGGAAGAGATACGGCGAGAATTTTATCGCCTCCAACAAAGAATTGCAGAGATTGAAGAGATGACAAGGGAAGAAGTTACCTTAGACTGAGACATGGAGTGTCGAAGGGGAGAGAGAAACAAGGATCCGAATCCTTTCCATAGGGATAATTTCAGCGATGAAGAAGATAGACCACAACGTTTCAAAATTCAATATCAGAGAAGGCCTAAAGAGGGATATCTGTGTCCCTCCCACAGGGAACCTTTCTGAGAATAGATGTCATTTGGAGGGCACCAAGACCACTGAATCAAGGTAGATTTGACTGAGTTTGAGGGCAGCAAGGAGCGGGTGAATTTATTGAATGACTACCAGAAATTGAGCGAATCTTCGAAAACAAGTAGGAGTCCTAAAAGAGGTGGATCACATTAGCTACCATCAAATTGAAGAAAAGTGACCTTTATGGTGGGAGAACGTACGGCGACAGAGGAGGCGAGAAGGCAGCGAAAAGATTATCAGATGGGAGAACATAAAAAAAAAACTATGTAGAAGAAATATCTTCCCCCTCATTACCGCCAAGACATGTTTTTTGAAACTCCACAGTCTGCAATAGAGGGGCCATTTAGTCGAGGAGTTTACAACTCAGTTTGACCACTTACAACTAATGTGCGATCTGACAGAGCCAGAGAGGATAATACAGTAGCCATATATCTTGAGGGCTTAAAGCCTAGTATTAGCAATGCAGTGCAGCTGCAACCATATTGAATGTTGGGGATGTTCAGAGACTAGCATTGAAAGTTAAAAGGCAACAGAAGCAAAGCCGACAACCACTCGTCAGTCAGTCACCCACAGTTGGAGACACCAGCAGGAGCACATCGCAGAGAATTGAGAAAATTGGTTTGAATACGAATAACGCCACTCCAGTGAGAAGAAACCGACTATAGTGCCGCCAAAAAATGCTTCAAATGCCACATATTTGGGCGCATAGCCTCCAGTTGCCCGACGAGTAGAGTTGTAACTTTTATTAAGGAGGGCACCGTGGAAGAGGTTCGCGAGGAACAGGAAGCTGAGGAACAGGGTAAGGAGCATAAACTTCCACCAGATGAGATAGATGCACTTGTGATTCGACGGATTCTGCGGGTCGAGGACATGAGAGATCCGCAATGGCTTCAACAAGACATTTTCTACATCCGCTGCACAGTGAACAGAAAGATATGCAGTCTTATCATCGACAGCGGTAGCAGTAAGAATGTGGCATCGATCAAGATGATAGAGAAACTAGTACTTACGACTCAGAGGCATTCCTAGCCATATTCACTGAGGTGACTGAAGAAAAAAAATAGGGTCAGCATCGACCGACAATTCACAATACAGTTTTCAATAGAAAGTCAGCTGCAGGAGAAGGTATTGTATGATGTGGTCCGATGGACGCTGCCACCATCTGTTAGAAAGACCGTAGCAATTTGACCGGAAGACTCAACACAATGTATTCAAAAACACGTATTCCTTCATCAAAGACAAAAAACACCTCATTCTACATTTTTCGGTAGCGCCCGAGAAGACAGACACCTTTACCAACAGAGTAGCGGGACCGAGTTTATTGACAACAGATTCTCAACTACCATGGCCACCACCATGCAAGAGATTTCAGTCCCAAAAGATTGGACCGAGATGGAGGTGCGCTCGCAAGTTTGTTGAGAGACAGTACAGTAGACAGTGGGATCCAGGTGGGGACCAGAAGCTTCGACTAGTGAGATCAAAGCTCCCCCCAACTCCGGTAGATTGACGCAGGCTTGAGAGAGGACTGACCAGGTCTCAAGGAAATGGGGTTGCCGCCCCCTCCTTCCTCCTCCCTTCTTTTATTTTTCCCTCATTTCCTTTTTCCTTCCTTTTCTTTATTCTTATTTTCCTTCTTAGTACTTTCCTATTTCAAAACCTTTCCTTAAATTGAGATTTGATTTTTATTCTCTTTCCTAATTTAAAATCATTTCCTCAAATCTGAAATCAGATTTTATTCTCCTTCCTTATTTTAATAACTTTTTCTAAAATCTGAAATCTAATTTCACTTTTTCTTATTTTAGTGTTTCATAATTGGGTCAAGTCTCTCTATAAATAGAAGTTGATGTGTCTAGAGTTAGGGGTATTGATCTGTTTATATTTGAATTAAGGTCTTAGCCTTAGTATTTTCCCTTTGAGAAGGTAGTGCTCCGACTGTCCATCGTCCGAGGTGGTGATCGTCTCCAAGTGTCTGAGTGGTACTCCGGCTATAGCTCGACCTCGCTGAGACATTTATCTTACCATACTTTTGTTTCCCTACCGTCATTTCAGAATCCAGCCACCACAGCCCCTACTGTTGCCACTCCTCTCAACCTGTGGTTCGACATAACTACTGTTGTCAACCTGTTGTCCTACTTCCACAGTAGCCCCACCTCTTCGGCCTCATCGCAGCTGCCAATCCAGCCTCCGAAGACATTCCAGCTGCGGTTTGACGTCATTACTATTGCCAACTTGCTGTCCTACTTCTTCCATAGAAGCCTCACCTCTCCAACCTTCATTGCACCCACCAATCCAGCCTCCAACGATGCAGGATACCATTTATAATCTGCTATCCTACTTCTCCCACAGCAGTCCCACCTCTCCGACCTTCACCGCAGTCACCAATCCAACCTCACCCCTTGTCGGACTCCCTCCACATCAAGCGGTTGCGCCTTCTTTGTTGAGTCATTAGTTGTAATTTTTTGTTTTGTGCATTTATTTTGTATGTAGTCTTTTGTTATTTCAAGTCTTCATAGTAACATTATTTTAAATCAGTAATAAAATTTTGTCCAACATCGTGGTTTAAGTTAACTTCGATATCATTAACACTATAGAGATTTACATGACCTAATTAAACATATCCTTAGATGCAGTGTACGTAGATTTTAAGAGTTGAAATCCAAAGAAGCTTCTTAGACAACCAAAAAATTAACATACCTCTGCATTTGTGATGATATGAGCTCCGGCTTCACATGCAGCATTACTTAAAGCTAATGACACTGAACCCATGCCACCCTCAACATACCTGCAATTTCCATTTTAACGTAGTTATTTTCTTAAATATTCAACAGTAATAACAAATAGTTAGCATGAAAAAAGATGAGAGATCTAGAAATATTGATCGAATTAGATACATTAAAGGTGATAATAGTGAGATTTTAATTAAAGATTAAGACAACAAAAAAGAAGAAATTACTAGTTTTAGTAATTATTAAGAGGCATTTACATACATACCACCCAATTGTTATGTATTTATGTAGCTAAAACCTAAATTTTACTTTTTAAATTTATATAGCACAAATCTTTCATATCATGTCAAAAATACCACTTTTAACTTCGCAAAAGTGATACACCTTTAATATGCATAGGGAAGGTACGTAAAAATTAAAGTTGAGGTGTTAGACATGTAAATACAAAATAATTGAGTAATATGCATGTAAATCTTCCAATTATAAAATGAGAGCTTTAAGGGGAAAAATATTTTTTGAGAACAATGAGCTGCATCATAAATTGATCCCAAGAAAAAAATGTATAGTGGGGGGTGGGGGGGTGGGGGGGGATTTACGTACATAGAACTCAAAACTACTAGAATTGCATATCACACGTAAACTTCAATATTTATATTTTTAGCACCCAAAATATTCAAATAAAAACAAAATTAATACCCAGCCATTAAAATGCTAACCCCATCAAATTCATAAAGTTACATTACTGCTCAATCCAAAAAAGCTGCCAGAGATCTGAAATAGCCAGAAAGGCAGCAAGGGGATCACGACGAACAAAGACGTCCAAAACTAGCATCCATCTCTTCCTTCAGCCCCGCCGCTACCCGAAACCAATGAGCAAGGTAACCTCATTTTTCTCCCACTTTCTTCGTGAGCTTCAACTTCCCTAATTTATGTACCTGAATTCAAGGCAAAATGGAGGAAAGAAGGGATTTAAGAACATGTAGGATTTAGAGATGGTGTTTTTTGTTGATTGGCCTAAGATTTTGCCGATTGGCAGGAGAAAGTGGATTTTAAGTTGTCATTTTTGTTGTTTGGCAGGATGATTACGTCAATTGTTTCGGGTAGGAGCATGGTAGAAGGAGAAAGATGGGAGTTGCAGAGGTCTTTGTACTTTACAATTTTGTCGTTGTGCTATAAGCAAGGCGGAAGGAGGAGAAAGTTGGGAGTTTCAGAAGTTTGTGTACACCGTGATCCCGTCATTGTGGTAGGAGCAGGGTGGAAGGAGAAATATGGGATTTTCAGAGGTCATTGTATGCCATGATGCAGTCGCTGCGGTCGACTAGAGCCAGCTGTCAAACATTGTTAATGGGGTACTAGGGATATAAATATTGAAGTTTAAGTGTATGTGATATTAATAATTTTGAGTGCAATGTAGATAAATTCCACATTAAAAAATGCATAAAGGTAAATTGATAAAGCTTTGGATTTAAATAAGATGTCAATTGAGATTGGGAGAGCTCTAATTTAAATTGGAGTAATTTGGTGTTTTTGCCCACCCAAGAATCTAAGGTTGGGAGTTGCAATGTCATGGGTAAAATTCAAATTCAAACAAATTCAAGGCCATGTCAACAACTCTTGAGATTTAGTTGAAGATTAAGAGAACCTAAAGAGATTAGAGATAAAATACTTTTGTATCGTGCAAGAACGAATGAGATTTTTAAAACTAAGGTAACTATATGAGAGAAATACTTATGACTTATATAAATGAGAATTCATTTTGTATTAGGAAGATTCAACAAGGATGTGAATTTTGTGCCAATAAGTAGAACTAATGAATGCCGATTTGGCGTGCATTAATGGAAAAATGTGTGTAGAAGAGGTAAGTTCCAACTATACCTGACATGCATGATGAAGCATTGAGAAATCTTTTATAGTTAATGAGGATAAAGTTCTTAAAAGCACACTTCACGAGCAAAATGAAGCAAAGCATATGACACCTACTTCGTTTCACTGTAACAAGCTTTGAAGCACTAAAGTTAATCTGTAAGTTTTAATTAATCCAACAAATTATTAGAAATTATTCAAAATTTTAATTTATAGGTTCACCCTCAATGTATGCCTTTAAGCTAAAAATTGTACCACATTTTTATTTATTTTATATTAACTTTTAAGTCATACTTTATATTTTATAATTATTAATGAATATATTTAAAGAATAATTTTATATAACTTATTAGCGTTCTGATTAATAAAAGTGTTGTTGCACTCTATGTTTTGCTCTTTGAAGCAAAAATAAAATCTTGTGCATTGTATTGCACATTGTGCTTTGCGCTTTGATTACACTCGTTGAGGAGTGACAGAAATTCAAAGCCATAGTAGATTCACATCAAGATTGACATTAAATTTGTATTTTTTGCATTATTTAGAAGATGCTTATAAAAGATTTTAAAGTGATACATAAGGTTCAAGGATTTATCTTTTCTACAACAACAACAACAATCCTTTATCCCACTAAGTGGGGCAAGCTACATGAATCATTTTTCTCAATTATGTCCTAATGAGTGTCATACTTTCATTTACTTGTAATAAATTAAAGGATTCATATCACAATTTTTTCAAAAAAAAATTTACGTTGGTTGACACATTATTATCTCGCATAACAGATAAGCTAATTTCTTTTGTCTTTACCATGACGACAATAGCATGAAAAAGAACCAAACAACAAAAATGTAGCAGAGGAAAAACAAAGTGTCAATAAAAATACCATAACTCGAAAAGGTAACTAAAAGGAAATATCACAACAAACCACGAACACTAACATCACCACTAACAACACCACAACCATCACCACTAACAACACCACCATAAACACCAAACACACCACCAACAAAACCACTAACAGCACAACCAACATCCCCACTACTGGCACCAAAAAACTACCACCAACATCCACACAAATCACTAACAACACCATTGAAAGTGTGACCAACATGGTATTGCCATCACCAACAGCACAACTACAAACATAACCACGAACACCACCACCACCACAATATCACCAGAAAACTACCACCAGCATCCACACACACCACCAACATCACCACCACCCTAGCACCAAAAAACTACCACCACCACCACCAACACCACCAACATGCCACAAATAAATCATCACCAACAGCAAGAACAACATTGCACAACATCACCATCAAAAGCACCACCACCATGTCACCAAAATCCCATGGAACAAAATAACCACACCGAACATACACATACACCACCATGACACATTATCACCAACAACACACACCATTGTGCCACAAAAAAAGCATCACTCACGCCACCACGACAAACATCACTACCAATATAGCATTGACTAATCCAACAAAGAGGGCAAACAACCAACAAGACCAATCGACAAGTAGAGTAGCAAGTCTGTTCCAATTGAACCAAAAATAAAATCGAGAGGAGAGCCCCAACTAAGTAGGCCACACTGGGCAAAAAAAAATTCTAGCAGAGGCCAAGAAATCGCAAAAACCAAACCACTAACCGCGTAAAAGTCAAAATTCGCTTAAGGCTTCAAATCATGCCCCTCCCACATATCCTTCCAAAACAAAAAAGAGAGCACAAGCCAAACGGGTAAAGGAAATTGACAGAAATTGCATAAAGGCTTGCATAGAAACCTTCTCACATAGACAATAAAACAAAGGCCGCACGGGCATGGAACAAAAAACAGAAACTGCAAATAAACCAAAGCCCTAAATCGTAAGGAGGAAGCCACAAATGACAAACCTCAAACCATAACCTAATATCAACGACAAAAGCATAGGGTAGAAATTATCGGTGCTTGGAAATGGGAGAGTGCTGCCGAAACTGAACCACTGATCAAAATTAGAGGGGAGAGGAAGAGTTAGGGCAGACGATCGCGAGAGAAGCATGACAGGAATCGCAGGGTCGAAAAAAAAATGTGAGGGTAGGGGTCGAACAGAATGCGAAGGCAGCACGATAAAATTTCGCGAACGAAACGCAGGCCACGAGGTCGAACCTGTGGCCCACAGTTAACTCGAATAATCCGAATAAGACGTTTTTTCAAAAACCCAAATGTGTGTTTAGCTGCGTGTCACGGATAAAAAGCTGCCTCAAACGCAACCTCAATGTAGAAAATTAATGCAAGTGTCATAACCCTAGAGAAGAAACTCCATTTGGTTGTATAAAATTTATAGAACAAACTAAAATATATATTGTCATTATAACTATAAATAATCTACTATTACATTCACAAAGAGCATTTTGGTCCAATTCTTTCCATGGGATAGTGATAGAGTACCAGTTTAAAGAATATATTCCTTGAAAGGGTGAAAACAACTTCTAGTATTTAATCCACAGTTTATAATCCAATGTTAAATTCAAGTTGGGTTTAACTCTCCTAAAAGGCCCACTTCAGAAATAAACCACTAGAAAATAAAATTCCCACTTCAAAAAATAAACCACTAGAACAGGCAACACTAGCAATGATTTTCTCAAAGAGGGTTTGCATACATACCGCTAAATTTTTATGCATTTGCATATGTAATGCCTAACTTTTTATATTTACTCCCATAACATCCAAATATCTGAATCACATAAAAATACCACTTGCATTAGCTTATCTGAAATGAAATACATATTGTCATGCATATGTTTTAATATGATTTAAATACAAGATGCATTTACATACATACCATAAGAACAAGGGGCATTTACATACATACCACCCAGTTCCTATGAAATTCACATATCTAACACCATTACATTTACAACACCTAAATCTTTCATATCACATAAAAAATAACAACATTTTAACTTATAAAAAGTCTAATACACCTTTTTACGCTTTTGTGAGGTAGCGGGTATTTAAAAATTGAAGTTTAGGTGTTGGATATGTAGATACAAAAGAATTAAGTGGTATGCAACTAATCTTCCTAAAAATAAATATAAAAACATAAGTGTCAAATATGTAAATACATAAGAATTTAGTGGTATGCATGTAAGCCACCCTTTTCATATAATTGCAATATATTTCTAAAATAACGAAGTGCAAAGAAAACGAAATAAAGTAAAGCACATACGACCAAATACCACGTTCCCCATCTGTTTCTCCCATCACATGATGAAGCAAGACATATCCTGAGCCTGGTGTATAAACAGACGCCTGCAAATAAGTATCATAATCCCAAAAATGTGTTATTACGTACTTCAACGTGTCAATATGAAGCTTACAAACTTTAATAACTTTATAGATAAGAAGCCATTGCTATAAGCATATAAAAAAAAATAATGTCAAAACCCACATATAGATACATTCTACCTTTAAACTACTCTCGTTGGTTAATATCGTGAATGATAGAGGAAAAAGAATATAGCAAAACCATCCAAAAAAGAATTCAAATTCCCAAAGAACAAAATAAAGGAAAAAGAAATAGGTAATGCTAAAAACAAGCTTCCACATAAGTTAAATTTCGCAGAAAGGTTCTTTGATCATTGCTAGATAGATACCTTGTCATGCGGAAAAAAAAAATCTGAAAAAAGCAATCTGAAATTATTATGAAAAAGAAGAAAAGGATATAAAAGAGAAGATTGTTGTTCTTGCATGGAAAACATCATACATTGTTATGTAAACAAGGCGGACCCATTCTTATCTCTAATGGTCATGCCAAACGACGCGATGATGAGTTCATCCTCTAATATGGACACAATACAAGAATTGCTCACTCTAAGAATCTAGATCAAGCAAGAGATCAAACATCATACATTGTGCCACCACCCCTACTAGTGTTAATTGTTAAATGACTAACAACGTGAATAAGTATTACTGAAGAACTATTGTGTAAAAACAATAAATGTTGTGGTGGTAAAACAAGCAAGTAAAAATATAAATATTGCACAATTTTTTTTACTTTTGACTCATTAGGTCTGTCATGAATGAAAAAAGGACTCTCTAACTTCATTCAGCAATGCTAGAGGTGTACAGTTAAGCAAGCGTAGAATTATGCAGTGCTTTTCTCGAAGGTACAAGAGTTGCACCAATAACTCATTAACTGATATCCAATTAAATTCAAAAATACCACCACCAAACCTTCCAAAGTATTGAAACTCAGCCACAAGAATGAAGAGATGAGAAAGCAAACTGTAGTTACTAGATAATAAAGTGATTTTGCCCAAAAGTTTGCCTTGTATATCACCCATTGTAGAGGACCCAAAGAAGAATGGCAGGCGAGTCTTGAACGTATTTTGGGAGGCTTTGTAGGCCTAAAAGGATGCTAGATTGAAGACAATCATCACATTCCACCCACGTACCAACAACCAAAATAAGGGGTGAAACAACAAACATCCCAAACTTAGAACTATCGCTTGTCATACCATCAAGTTGGATTCGACAGAGGCATGCATCTATTTCCCCAATCATTTTGGGAAAGATAATAATATTAATTCTTGAATTACAATTAGTTAATTAAAAAACAATTGCTGAACATTAAAGTTCAAGTCATAGGTTCTCCAGCTAATGATGCCAATAACCAAACCATACACATTTCTAGCTAAGTATTTTTTAATCCAAAAGTTTCATGAGAGTTTCTTTTGGAACTTCGAAAGTATTGCCAAAGAACTACGGGATTAAGAAAACCAAAGCTGCAGATTAGGCATATATATATATACATATATATAGCCAATCTGTTTAAAAACAGAAACAGGCTCTCACACTAGTGCGTAGAAGACAACATGTCTCAAAGTTTCTCACATGTCATAGGTCAGGCATATACACAGCTAAAGCTACTAAACACATAAAGAGACATCATGTCTACAAAATGACCTTGCTGACTGTATTACAAACTATTGTAGAAGTTTCTTCTGGCTACGTGTCAGATTAATATATATACTCTAGAGAATATCATCATTATGTAGGGATTTCTGAAGATGAATAATAACATATTAGACTGTAAATGATAAATAAAAGGAAAACTTTATACAAGTGCTAATTTTAATGCTGCATAAAATGAAATGAAATGAAATGAGAGAGTCAAATATCAAGAAAACTCCGAACATAAACTAGTAGAAATGCGAACCATGCTTCCAATAACAGCATCAGTTGCCAGTGTTGCCTTCAAAGCCTCCGCCTGCAAAAGGAAAACAACACAAAGGAGAAGAATTGATATTAGAATAGATGTCTGTTACGCCGGTTCCTAGGAGACAATTTAGTCATTTATTAACTTAAGGGTAATTGAGTCTTTTATTATTTATAATTATTTAATATAAATAGTCCCTAATTGGTTTAGGGTTGGGTATGCATAAGATTATTGTCTTTGAGCCTTAGAGCTAGAGTTTGGAAGAGATTTCCTACCTCTCAAATTGAAGGATTTGGGAGAGATCGACTACCCTCAAATTGAAGGTGCTTATCTTTATTTATTTGTGTTGTGTTATTTGGTGTGTCTAAAATAAAAATATTTGTTTGCCCTAATTTCTGTGAAAAATCGTGTCAATTGTTGTGTCAAATCGTATCATATTTAAGGATTTCTAAGTCTACGGACAAAGCCCTAACATGATTTCAGTGAAAAAGGGCTAGATAACCGATCCTCCTATGGGGAGAATATAAGGATTGTTTATTGAAACTTTTCTGAATTATTCAGGAATAAGACCTATACGAGCAATTCTTTGCATTAACTCATGAAGGAACTGTTATGAAACATAGGAAGAGATTCAAGTTAATGACAAGTCGGCTGAAGGGAATTTCTGAAACAATATTAGAGGGGAATTTCGTGAAGAACCTAAAGCCTAATATACATGTAGCGCTTCGTCCGTTGAGACCATGAAACTATTGAGAGATTATGGAATTAACGGGGTTTGTTGAAAATCATAATGCAATGGAATGGACTAATAGGAGCAACACAGGCGGATTTTCATACCGAACTACTACAACCATGAAGGCACCAAAAACTCAAATAGTGGAAGTCCAAAAAGAGGCTTCATAGAACAAAAATCATGGGCAACAATCGAGGGCGACACTCAAGCGCCTTACAGATACAGAGATTCAGAAGAAGCGAGTCAAGGGATTATGTTTTCGGTAAGATGAGAATTTTATCTCATAACATCGTTGTAAAAATTGAATATTACAGGTTCTCACAGTATGTCTCAAGGAGGCAGGGGAGGAAGAAACAAAGCATGTTGTTGGAGAGGAGGTACACCCTCATTTTTGAAGGGGCAATTTAGTCTTTTATTAACCTAAGGGTGATTAAATCTTTTATTATTTATAATTGTTTAGTATAAATAAGCCCTAATGGGCTTAGGGTTGGGTTGTAGGAGATTATTATCTTAGAGTCTTAGGGGTAAGCTTTGAGAGAGATTTCCAACCTCCCAAATTGTAGGATTTACGAGAGATTGCCTACCTCTCAAATTGTAGATGCTTATCTTTATGTATTTGTGTTCTGTTGTTTGGTGATTCTAAAATAAAAATATTTTGAGCTAAATTTTCTATGGAAATCGTTTTGGATCCTATTATAATCTTGGTTGATCAATCCGATTAAAGCACCTTTGTGCAAGCTTGATGTAGTAATTGATCCGGTAAGAATTTCAATGCAAAATATTTGAACAATAACACCATCAAATATTAACACTAAAGGCAATATGTTGCACCAAGAAGATAACACATATCTAGTGTTCAATAAGAAAGAATCTTAGTAACTTGCTGCACTACAAAGAAGATTCATATGGGCAGAGTTGGCAAGATCATTTTTGATTCTTCTCCCGCCCATCCTTCTTAGCTCACAGTGATATTCCTCTTTCATGAATTTGAGACTGCAATACATTCTATGACAATAGCAAGTTCTCCAAACTCAAATAAATTTTTTTTTCTGGCACAACTTTTGATGTTTTGTAAAGTACTTTAACAAATGCTCTACAATCACTCGTCCACATTTCCTTACAGCAATATTTTGCTTTCAGTTTTTGTGATTGCAATTAGTTTCAATAAATATTGAAGAGAGATAGCGAAAGAACTTTCTTGGCAATGTTTCCACCTTTGAAATCAAACATTTTTTAATGGCCTCCATGTTCCACATGGCATAAAATATGCCAAGATTTTTTATTATAATTTTGGACTTTGAGTATACGACAAAGACATGACGGAACACTGATGAATGTTTATGTGATTATATTTTTTATCATTAATCTTGTTTGTTTCTTTTTATTTTTAAAAAGCTTCTTTTATGATATTGGCAAACCCATATTGATTCTTCTCCTGCCCATCTCTCTTAGCTCAAAGTAATATTCCTCTTTCATGAGTCTAAGACCGCAATAAATTCTATAACAACAGTTGGTTCTCTAAACTCGAATAAAATTTTGTTCTGCCACATTTTTTTGATGTTTTTTAAAGTACTTTTAACACTCGCTTCTACAATCCACTTTTCCTTACAACAGTGTTTTGCTTTCAGTCTTTGTGATTGCATTTGGGTTTCGTTACATGTTGAGAACTTTCTTGACAATATTTCTACCCTGGAAAGCTAACATTTCTGAATGGTCTCTTGTTGACCTCATTTTTGTGAGGTCTTGTCTTCTCCTCCTTAGAGCCTAGATTCTAGCTCTAGAAATTCCTATGGACTATCTTAGAAAACTAGAATTGGGACTCACCTTTCTAGAAATTTCAGCCAATTCCTATTTTCCTTTGATGTCTAGCATCTTTGGCACAAGACCATCGTCTTATGAACGAGCGGTTATGGGCTATTTTGTGAAGATTCAAGGAAAATGTTCCAAATAGGACTTCAAGCCTTAGGAAAACATTCGTCACGACTTTTTCGTCACGTACACACACAAAGTACACGAAGTTCACGAAATTGCGCGAAATCGGACTTCAATTAAGCCCAAAGGACGGGTGAAAATGCGAACTTTTCCGGATGACCTCCGACGACAAAATGGACTGCACCAACGCGTCCGGGATATCCATTTTGGTAGGAAAGGACACCCATATTGCCATACTTTCGACATCAGCAAATTGACACGCAAATCGGTGAATTCGTCGAAATGACCTCTGACGGCAAAACAGACTGCACCGGCACGTCCAGAATGTCGATTTTACCTAGGGAGGACACCTATTTTGCTTGGGCGCCGCACATGGATAAATCACATGAAATTTGATATATATATATATATATATATATATAATTCTTATTTTCCCCTAAATCCCTAAATACC